GACACCCTGCAGCGTGTAGGTAAAGCCACGTTTGGTGTCCGTTCGAGGAAGCGTCCAGACTGGTTCCAGGCCAATCTAGGTAAGATTAGCCCTGTCTTGGATGAGAAGAGGACTAGCAGACTGACCTATACCAACTCACCCAACCCTGCAAATGCAGCAGCCATGAAGACAGCCCGTGCCAAAGCTCAACGTGTTCTCAGAGAGACACAGAAGGAGTTTTGGGTCAATGTCTGCGAAAACGTTCAGAGGTGCGACGATTGTGGCGACATCGGAGGCGTCTACGCAGCCTTAAAGTCTGCTTTGGGGCCATCACCTCGAATGACGGCTCCCTTGAAAGATTCCAATGGAAATGTTCTGCTGGAAAAACCTGAACAACTCAAACGATGGGTTGATCACTTCAGCTCACTTTACAGCAGTTGCATTCCTTTTGATGAATCTGTACTGGACTCCATTGTACAACTCCCGGAACTGTCACACCTTGACCAGGATCCCACGCTACCTGAGATTGAGATTGCTCTGAAGGCCATAAAAAGCGGAAAGGCCCCTGGGAGCGACGAAATTCCTCCGGAACTTCTCAAAGTTGACTCAACTGTCTTGAAAGACCACCTGCTTGACTTGTTACTGACGTGCTGGCACGAAGGTTGTGTTCCACAGGACCTTAAAGATGCAAGGTTGGTGACACTTTTCAAGAACAAGGGGTCTAGACAAGACTGTGACAACTACAGAGCCATCGCTTTGCTCAGCCTAGTTGGCAAGCTCTTTTCCCGTGTTATTCTGAAGAGACTGCATGTTCTCGCAGACAGTACTTACCCTGAATCGCAATGCGGCTTCCGAAAGGGCAGGTCTACTATTGACATGGTGTTCACCCTCCGCCTACTTCAGGAGAAGTGTATCGAGCAAAACAAACCTTTCCTTGCTGTTTTCATAGATCTGTGCAAGGCTTTTGATTCGGTCAGTCGCGAAGGCCTGTACTTGATCCTGCAGAAGGTTGGCTGCCCCCCTAAACTGCTAGCTCTCATCAAGGCATTTCACGACGGAATGTCTGCTCGCGTAGTCTTTGATGGCGACCTGTCCGAGCCATTCCCAGTGCGGTGTGGAGTTAAGCAGGGATGCGTGTTAGCACCAACTCTGTTCGGTATCTTTCTATCCACCCTCTTACGCATCGCCTTCCCGAATCCCGGAGGTATCGCCCTCTGCACAAGGAGTGATGGAAAGCTCTTTAACCTCAGTCGTCTCAGGGCAAAGACAAAAACCAGAACTGTCCTGTTACGCGAACTAATGTTCGCTGACGATGCTGCTTTCTGCTCTCATGGTGAAACTGAACTGCAGGAAATGTGTGACTCATTCAGCAGCACATGCAATAGATTCGGACAAACAATCAGCGTAAAGAAGACAGTTGCCTTCTCAACTAATGCACCACCTCCTCACATTGTCATAAACGAGAGTACCCTCGACACGGTTGAAGACTTCCGTTACCTCGGGTCTGTGGTCTCCTCGTCTGGCAACCTAAACCGTGAAGTCGACTCGCGCATCGGCCAAGCTGCCAATCTCTTCGGTAAACTCAAAAGCCGTGCCTGGGACAATAAGTACCTCACAGTTCACACTAAAGTGAGGATCTACAGAACCTGTGTCCTGTCTGCTTTGCTGTATGGCAGTGAGGCCTGGGCTTCTTATGCCCACGTTGAAAGAAAACTCAACAGTTTCCATCTCCGTTGTCTCAGGAAGATCTGCGGGGTCACGTGGATGGATAAAGTCCCAAACCAGGAGATCTTCAGAAGATGCAGCATCACAAGCCTGTATCCCATCCTAAAGCAACGAAGACTGCGTTGGCTGGGCCACGTGTCCCGCATGGACCAGTCTCGCTTACCCCACCAAGTCTTGTACGGCCAGCTTGCCGACGGGAAACGCGACAGGGGGCGCCCAAAGCTTCGTTTTGTTGATGTCTGCAGGCGCGACCTGAAGTCATTCCACATCGGAGCTGCCTGGGAAAGTCTTGCAATGGACCGTACCTCTTGGAGGTGCCAGCTTCAGCAAGGTGCTGCAAGTATAGAAAACGACTTGCAGCGAAGAGACAGCGCCAGAAGAGAGAAAAGGAAGAACAATG